TACCACGCGGGTAAGACCGCCCATTTCGGGGATGGGGACCCGTACGTGCATGTAGATTGTGTCCCCAAAGTTTCAGCCCTCTAGCTTTTGCCGGTCTCGAGATGAAAAATCAGTACAGACGAACACAGACAACCTCTCGTCAATATGCGTTTTCTGCATTGCATAGCTGCAAAAAACGCATAATAATAAAGAGAGGATCGCAAATGGAGCGGGAACATGCTTTACAGGTTTAAGCTCCATAGCTTCTCTAGTTTCTGAGTAGGTAAAAAAATGCAGACACACAAATAAACAACCTTTTGCCAATTCGCGCTTTTCCATTTACACAAATATGCAAACAATGAGTGAATGCACCAGGCTGACTGATGCGAATATGCGTTTTTGCTGTGTAGCACTCTGGCGCTGCAACAGGTAGCAAAAACGCATTTGCAACGACTCTGTCGATGAGTGTACGTTTGTCTCTGTATTTATGTTCGTCTGTCCGGACATTTTTACCCAGCAACCACGTAAGCTTTGATGCTGTTTGCTAGAGTGTTCCCTGGCCATGTCCGACCCCAAGAATGTGACATAAACTATCACGCACACCGACTACTCACGTAGTGACACGTGAAATTTTGGCCACAAATTGCTAACTCGAGAACGAAAAAAGCTAGGAAACTGGAATTTTAAAGAGACGTTCCCTACACATGTACAATTAAAATATTTCAAATTCAAGTCTTCTCATGGGGTCTTTTTGGTGTACTAGCAACTTTCTGTTTGTCGAGTCACTGAAGCTAACATCCACAGGGACTGACATACCATACAGTTTGACTAGTTGAAAGTGCACAACAAAAAGCGAACATGTATATATCGGCAGTCCTTCACACACATGCGCTTTGCACCTGTATAAATATACAAAAACGCATAACAAACCAACCATATACGTAGCAGATAACAATGATCTGTAGAAGACTCAACGAAAACGAATTCCAGTTCGCGTTCAGATTTTCAATAGAATGAAAAATGAATATGCCGCCCTGTAAAAGCGCAGCTCACTATGCCCTTGCTCGATGAATCAGAATTAAATTGTGACATATTTATGTATATCGAGTGGGCTTGGAGATTGACTGGAGGTAGCAGCTCAGGAACAGAGGACTGGGCATAACTGAACCTGGTGTATGAGGGCATTCCGGTAAAATCGCTAACAAGGGAGACTACACTGTTTATCCATACAGTCTTGGTGTCCTTCCTGTGCTTATATATAGTGGCTAGGGCTAGACAGCTAGGATGGAAGGAACTGCAGCTGCTATAAATATTGAATCAATTTTTCGATGCCACCTGTCGAAAGTAGGTTGGTCAGTGTTATCAGCCAGGGGCAATTAATATAACTCGTAAATACTAAGAACGCAAACAACGCTCGGACAATCAGTGTGAATATTCCATGATAGTATCGTCACGAGAAGCTTTCACGCTCCAAGTGCATCAATGCCTATCATAAGCTGCATTAATTCCCAACATTTGTTCGACGTGTGTGGCCATTTATTCGTGGCTGGATATGCTGACGTTTATTTTCTGCGGGTACCATTACCAGTGCATTTGAGGTCTACCGAGAACGGCAGCCGGACCTTACTGTGATCCAAAATACCCGAAACAAGCTTTCAATCCTCAATGAGTATTGGTCAAATCTCCATTAAATTCAGTGAATTTTCTGAACGGCCAACGGTTTTTCGGGAACTGAGAAAAGAAACGTGTCTTTATGCCTGGATTTCGAGCTAGCGTGAGCCGCCAAGAATGCCTAATGTCACAGACATTGGGCAAGCAAAGTTGCATAAACAAGTGCAATGGCAAAAAATGAATTAGTTGTGTACCCTCGTAGTGAAGGGTAGTCCAAAAACGAAACAGGTTAGGCACAATCCGACAACCAGACGGATTTCCGTACGTGTATCCAGCTTGTTGAACTGATTCATTACCGATGATACAATCATCTCAACCCTAAAACGCATCTCATAACTACTCATAAGTGTCAATATGATAAAAAGTATCCACAAAATGACAACAAATATTTTAAAAATAATAAATGCTCTTAAATTGATAAGTAACATTCTCAAAATGAAAATAAATGCCTCTAAAACGGCGATGTGCCCTCAAAATGATGAAGAGTACCCTGGAATGATGTTTAACGCCTTCATCAGCAAAAATTCACTGAACGTCATAATAACTGTACACACCATTTTTTTCACTGAAAATTAGAAAAAAAAAACGAAATAAAAAACCCCTTCATCAAACCGATTTAAACTGATCTGTTAATTTCGCGAGTGAGGCAAATGTCTGAACGCTGGAACATCTCAGCGAAGTCCGCATTAAAAGAAAAAGTGGCAAAGCGTGCCA